TTATCATCTCGTTTTCTGTTTCGTCCCTTTTTGTTAACTGGAAAACTGATGCGTTGTCAGTTAACAGAAATTCTTGTCTTCTGTTGAAATTAGAGTGTCGTCATTTCATTATTTTACGAAGGCTACCACAGTGCATCGCAAAGTCAAACGATTCGATAGTGGTTACTCGTCGAACGAGCAAACGTGAAACTTTCATTGTTGCTTGATTCGCTGTGAACTTTTGATAGATGTTAGATTTTTAGATGTTATTAATATATTCTGGCATTGCGATGCAGCACAAGTGAAACCGGCTAAGTTTGGTTTCAAGCACCATTGTCATCTTTCGACTTGTCATCATTGTGGGTGCACCATGAATGCAGTCAGCACCCCTCCAAATCATGCATTTTCTTGAGCACATTTTAGCGAGTAGCCCTGGTCGTTCGACCGTTTATCCTCTCTGCTAACCCTCGTGAACTGTTGCCTATTCTTGCTTTAGCGTCACCCAGTCCAAAGATTCAGAGTAGTGAAGCATTTTATAAATATTTGGTTACCGACAGATGTCAGTGGCGGGCAAATACCAACGGCTTAACTCACCGGAGCAGGTTCCTCAAATTTTCTAGGCCTCACTTGAAGAAGAGTTGGTGTAACAAAGTGAAATAATGAAAGAATTTCTGATTTCACAGGCAGCCAACGTTCCATGGGTTGAGCAGTTATAAATGACAAGTAACGATAAACGTCGTGGAGTTCTTTCAGTATATGCAAGTCTTCATCATATTTTCAGATGGTAGGCACCGTTATAAAAAAATAATAATGCAATTTTTTTAGGAGTTAATGCGGACAGCGGTCTCCAATTCTTCCACTCAGTTATGAAATAAGAGATCCCTTTCTCTACAACGGCCTTAAAGGCAGAAGTAGCGCTTTCAACTCCTGTTACCGAAGCCTCGTTAAATGATCACTGTGAGTTCATGAGAGTCCTTCATTTTGCTGCAGTAGCGGGTCTGGAACATGTACTGACCCGTTCTTTGCACCGTCGATCGATCGAGTATTTTAGTCATTGCACGTAAAGGTGTGGTAGAAGCAAATGAAAGTCTTTTAAACTCTTTGGTTGGACTAGAGTTTTACAATTTACTGTCAGTCGTTGTTGCTGCTACGGTAATCACCATGACCGGTTTTGCTGGCCCCAATGACGTTCCGGATCGCTGCTTTCCCCTTTCCACTTCTATCGATCACGCTCTACGTCCGTCACTAGGTTCAAGCAGTCTTTCTTCCATCGTTTGTAACCGTAGACGGTCCAGAGAAGACTTCAGTGTCAATCAACTCTGACAGTGCCCTACCAGGTCTTCTCTTATCCGCCTTTGTCCGCCTCTTTTCTAGCGCCCTCTAAAGATCAGGGTAGTGTTCACGCATTCTATTCTGAGGGCCAAGTTCTTACATTCATAAAGAGTGGTGGGACAAGTGGCGGCCTGCAGAATCAGCCCTTCGTCATCAGCATTGTCTCTCGACGTTTCTACAGCATCTTCCGGAGCTAGAGGAAAGCTCATTTGCTGCTCTTATTTGAGCCATAACTTCATCTTTAGATAGTTCATTTAGAGGTATAAAGGAGCCAGGGTATTTGAAGGTGCTGACTTCAAGGGAGTGGTACACCGAGGGATGAGTTTTTCCACTTGTTCTTGAATCCTTGGGAAGAATATTTTCTTTGTCACGGCGTTGATGTCTAGTCTAACTGTCAGTCAATTTCAATCAATGGCAGATGTTTAAGTTGCGAATAGCTGAAAGCGATCGAAGTGCTCAAAACGTAAAACAAATTGCACTTGAGTACATCTGAATTGATCGTGCAGGTCTGCCACAAACTTTGTTAAGGATCCGCCACTGAGACCTTGCTAAGCAGAGGCTGACAGAGCTGTTCAAAGCAAGTCTGTGTCGATGATATACTGTCTCACTACAAACTTGAGCGGAAGATCTGAGAAACATCGTTTTGTACCAATAACAAAAGAATGCACTATGAAGTTGGTTCAACAAGTACATGTTATTAACCTTCGAACAGAAGTTAGCAACTCATGTACTAGACCGAAGGAAGGACGAACGATGGCGGATATGCCAGGAAGTGGAAGTGATCAATCAATTAATGAATCGATAAACGGTTCATTATCGTATACGATGTAACTGTCAGAAGTGAAAAGACTATATTCAGACAGTGCACGTGACATAAGAAACGAAATAGGCTTAATGTTAAATTATTAAAAATTAAAATGGTCTAAACTGTTTCTGTCCTTCAAGAACTCTAAGAACTGTTAAAAAATAAATGGCAGGAATTACCAGCAGGTGGGTAATTTAGTT